CACCAGGAGCTATTGTAACAATACGGTCTATTATTGTCTCTCCCTGCATCAACAAAGTAACTTATTCAGAATGCTGTGGAATATTACTGCAAAGAACATCAACAAGATGAACCTTCATAGCTTAGTTCTATATCCCCTCAGCACTCGAAACAAATAAAAGGACTATATATATATATATATATATCATGGTTAGCTACGTTTTTTGTTTTTTTTTATTGGATAATTTCCAAAATATAGAACAATATTTAAGAGTCTAAGACCATTTTTATTTTTATTTTTGTTTATATAAATAGGCTTTTTTTTTTTTGTTTATGGAGCATACCCTTTTCGGAAACCTTCTGTCTCACGTCACTACCTTAGTCTATGTTCAAGTATTCCAAATTAATTCAAGTATTTATATTGATTGATTATGAAGAGTTTCACTTTATATAGAGTTTAGATCCTTAATTCCTATCCATAAAAATAGATAAATCTAAGGAAACTTTATTCAGACAAATTCAATCTAAAAACTAAATTATATACGAATTGAAACTTTTTATAATTTTCAATAGTTTGATATATTATTTACTGTCGATATGTGATACAAAATATAACTTTTTCCTATAACTAAAAAATCCAATTAACCTGGTGAAATGAAATCCAAATATAATGAAGTATATATTTGAAAAAAAAAAGAGATGAAATAATAATTAATACAGCCCATGAAAAATTGAGGGAGAATACATTTTTTTTTGTATTTGATAACATAAAACTAATTCAAAATCACATGGCAAAATATAGGGGTGGGCGTTTTAACCCGTAACCCGGGGTTTGAAGGTACCCAACTTAACAAGTATCCGAATAAAGGGTATCCGAATATTAACGATGATGAGATCAAGTATTAATAAGACTAAGTTTTTGACCCTCGAATCCGAGTGGGGGTTCAATTATTTTACAAGGGGTACCCGGGGGTATCCGGTATATTTATTAAAAATCTAAAATATACTTTATATCTATAATATTTTTGTCTAAATTATTCTTATTATTTATTAAAATACTTTTATTTTAGTTCAATTTTTTTATGTTCTAAACCTTTCTATACAAAAATTTCATCATTCCAAATCTTATTCTATGTAACCGGATCAACCATCATCTCTCTCTCAAAATTTTACTCATCTCTCTTCATCGTGAATTTTTCTCTTTATACTTTGACCTCTCTTATTTGTATTTTCTATATCTATAATTCAAAATTTTATAAATCGTATGGGTCCGGGTACCCGCGAGTACAATACCGAGAATCTCATTAAACCCGAGTACAAGTATCCGGATTTTATGAAGCCAAGATTGAGATAATATTTTTGTAAAACCCGTGATAATGAAGACGAGACAGGATTTTCTAAAAATTAGAGGTACCCGACCCGTGTCCATCCCTAACAAAATATGGAAATCCATATTAAATAATTTTTAGGAATTTTCCACCCTAATGATTGACTTGAGAAAAAGAGAGAGAGTCTAGAAGATATGTAAGGCCAAAATGCAATTAATGATTTACAAGTATTTATCTATTTATTTATATTAAATAAAAGGAAAGTATGATCAGAATTTACTATTTTCCTGATTCACCCCTTATCGTATATGTTGATACTGAAAGATATATAAAAAGAAAAAGAAAAAAAAAGAACTTAACAAAAATTTAAACCCGATACTACCACTGTTATTGCTGACGTGTCAACCCCATGATTTCACTATAAATACGCTCATGCTCGTCATGTCTCGGCAATCGGCATCTCCAATTCTAGAGAGAGAGAGAGAGAGAGAGATGGAGAGCGGAAATCACAACGGAGGCTCGGCGGCGAAGTTTCCGGCAATCAAATTCACGAAGCTTTTCATCAACGGCGAATTCCGCGACGCCGTTTCAGGTCTCTCTCTCTCTCTGTTTTCCTTTTTTTTTTTCTTTTCAAAAGAGATATACATATATACACACACATACATATGGGTATACTGAGCTATGATTAACCAAATTATTATCCACAATTACAATATTTCTTTAATTAATTGCATGTGGGCTGTGGGTATCTTAAATCATCGACTACTATTATATATTCTCTATTGGAATTTTTTTACAACCCTCTCTATTGAAAATTGTTTTTTTTATAAAATTCTCTATTGAAAATTGTTCTTGATGAAAAACATTTATTGGAAAAAGTATAGAGTTTTATTTTTTGATTTATAAACTAGCATATTTGTAATATTATATATCCTTCAAATATGAATCACCAATATCAGACCACGTGGTAAAAATAAATGGTGTTCGTAAATTGGGCAGGAATTATTGTAATGAATTATTAATTTTCATACGACTAGTGGTCGAAACGAGGAAGGGAAACAGGCAGATAGTGTCATGAGACGAGAGACGTGTCCGAGTTCTTCTTGAAATACGATTTACGGTCCACGCACCATATTGACATCTTTCAGATTTACCATACCTTATTTTATTTTATTTTGTTTTTTTGTTTTTTTGATAATTTTTTTTTCTTACTCGTTGAAATTAGATTTTGTTCACGTAATGGTTGAATAGATACGTG